AAGGGAACCCAGGTTTACCCTGTTGTCTCGAGTCCAGCTCAGGAACTCTGTGTTAAGCAGCCATAGTCTCATCTTTACAATTCCTTGTTGCATCCTTGATCTACTCCTATCTTTGTATACAAGTGTCTTTGCCAGTGTCACCCTGTAAGACAAACAGGTGTCCCTCTGGAGCTATCTCCACACGCAGCTTCTTCCATCTGCAGCTAAGCCACTTTCTCAAGCCTCTCTGTTTGCCACTTTTTCTGGCTGGGCTGCAGTCTTTTATTCCAGCTGTTGATTAATTGGCCCCTTATTTGCTGCTGAAGTAACTGGTCCTTCTGTCAACCCTTTCTGGATTGCCTCTATGACCTATCATAGATATTTGGGTAATCAGGATGAAAACTACATTTAAACAAAGGTATGAATTTACAGCTGTCATCATTTCATTAGAGAAAAGCCACTGTAGAATGGGAAGAAAAACATCTGAAGGAATCATAACAAAAATGCAAAATCAGTAGTCTCATAGATGAAAGGATTTTACTCTATGAGGGAACAGACTGAGATATGGTTTGTCAAGGGGCACCTTAGAAATACTGACAGACAGTATTAACATCAATGAAGCCAGTCAGTGGGTCATTAAGTCATATACAATGATGTGATACAAGTCCCTGTTGTTCAGATCTCAGTCAAATTAAATTTAACTCTGGTCTATCAATTCATATTTTGCTAAAAATTCGGGAAGTATTTGCCCATCTGTTCTGTAATAATTCAGCTATCTGGTTGCCATAAAGAAGTTGGTTGTCTGCCATTTGGGCAGATAGTTGCTTTTAAAAATGCATATAAGTCTCATGGTACCTGCAAGTCATACAATTTGAGAGCTAATTAAATCATGCCAGAACTACCCATCATGAAATGTAATCTTTGACTTGAACTCAGAGTGCGCAATTTCCCTGAGAGTACCACACTTCAGCAGAGTGCACCGTACAGCAAGGCACCTCACAGAAACACTGCTTTGGTGTGCAAATCCTGCAATGCAAATAAATAGCATGAGGCCAGAAGCACTGAGTGCTACAGACCATGAATGGAAACTTCAGATGCTTAATCCATCAGTTATTAAAGGACATCTTATTTCTGGCCATCACTCATCGAGAAAAAGCAGCATCCCCCTGAAGATGCCATTCACACACACCGCATGCCAGAAATGATGGTGTTAAAGCAAAGCCCATAAATAATGAATGATCTTCAATTCATTATTTTTCTTTCTTCTCTTGACACTGTCACTGAACCTGGTGCCCCTAAGACCCAGGAGAGGGGAGAGGTTCTGGATTTTTTTTTTTTTAAATCAGACTGAGCTCCAGCAATGATGAGAAATTCTCATTGAAACTCACTCAGAACCAAGGGGAAGATCCTCCAGTGCAATAAATTCACCAAGATTTGATCATTTACATCAAATGAGCATCTGTCCCTGAAAGGTTCACTACCCAAAACTAAAGGGTGATGAGCACTTATACAAAATGCCTTCTGCAGGTTGAGGACGCTCAGCACCTTGCACGGTCGGGTGCCAGCAGATGATGTGAAAGCCTATTTGATTCTTTGGGCACATTTTCTAGAAAAGAGTTGGGACCATGAAAATCACATTTTAAATGTTTGGATTGGCTCCATTTTCTATTTCCTAATTTTAGGGCCCCGGCTGCTCACTGAGGAATTCCACTGTTTCAGATCTTGTTTCCTTCTCTTCGATGGAAATGTTTTTGTGCTTGGTAAAACTGCAGCTTTCACATGCACATATGTATGTTTTAGAGAGGGGGATGACAGAACAAATCCTTCAGAAAAAATTTAAGGATGAAATGCAAAACCTCTAGTAATAAGAAGAGGCAGTCAACATGTCTGGCGGTAGCAGCAGGAGCAGGGCTCTGTTGGCAACTCTGCACACAAGCTCATTGTAACTGTTGGGCAAATTGTTTAGCCATTTTGTGGTTTGGTTTCCCTGTCTACAAAACATCTTGAGATTTTTTTTATATAAATGTACCATAAGATGCAAAATTACTAATAGTGAATAGCTGGAGTAAGACAGATGGAAAGTTATGTTTCTAGAGTAATAACATAATGCAGTAATATTTATTATGCACTCTTTTGGCCATGTATGCATATCAACCAATAACAATTTGCTAAAATAATAATCAATTTGTCAGAAAATGGCTAACCTTTCCTTAGTTTTGGTGAAAAAAATACTACTGAAGTCTAAGATAATTACCCCAAAGCACTATCTTTTATAATCATGTCGCTACAATATTTTGGTCTGTTATTACAGACTACTGCATAAAAGTCAACAGATCTGAGTATTAGAGCTGTCGGTGGATTTAAGATAAGTTGGTCATTTACTTACATTATTCATGAGGATGTTACTTATGTAAAATCTGTTGCTTAAAGGTGAACAGCAAAGCTTTTCATGGAGATTAGGAAATGGTTTAGGGAGCTGTTTCTTAGCCAATATGGAATTGTTTTTCATTTGTCTGAAGCACGCAGCACGGTGAATAACTATGTGAATGGCACAAAAGAAAGAAGGTGCTGGAGGACTGGTGAAAGCAGAGAATGGTGTAAACGGTGAAAGTGTCAATCGATACAGACACTGGAGATAACACAAGGTGATATGGTAAGCTCGGTATGGGAGGATGGGCAACAATTTTCACACCTTGTAATGTAAAGCCTGAGGAAGCACGGGAAAGATTTTGGTTAGGGGAAGTTAGGAGGGTTTGACTGGAGCAAGTTGGCCCTGGGGAGAGAATAACAAGGTGGCACAAAGAAGAAGAAGGCTTGATAGGAGTGGCCAGAGGTGCAAGGATTGAGCTAAACACAAGCAACATCAAAAAACCACAGGATCTTGGGTTTTTGGAATCCAGGCCGTCACTGAAGGGCAGCCTCGTGCAGCAGGTAACATAGCATATGGCCAAATGCTGTGGGCCTGAAGAGGAGGAGCCAAGGCTCCCTGGGTCCATGGTGGCTTCCTCAGTCCCTCAGGTCAAGTCATGACAAGATCAGATGGAAATGAGGCATATCTGCAGGAGCAATGAATGCATCTTACCCTTCTTCCTGTCTGGTACTGATTCAGTAAGACGCTGAAACATCTACTCATGCAGCTTGCGGAACTAGGATCTGATCCAATGCTTGCTGAAGTCGAGAGATGGGGTGAGGTCAGGCACATGGGGCTTTGCCTTGCAGCTCTCTGGAAGTAGGGCCTATCCATTACTATGTATTTCCACATAGTCCCAGGCACAACGGGGCTACACCCTGGCTACAGTGTCTCCACATGCTATTTAAATAAAATAAACAACAAGGGTGGCACTTCAAATGAGCTGTAGACTTGTACCATTCAGAAAACTGCAGAGAAACTTGACAAGGATCTTTTAAGGCAGAGCGTTGCCTATTGCAGAAGGGCTCTAGTTCAACCTGTGGCAATCTGGCAGCATTTGTCCAAGCCACCTTTTGTTGTAATCAAGTGGTAGTTGTTCTGGGAAAGGACTAAGAAGGTCTTTGAACTAAGCAGCTGGTTATCTCATCTGGATGCAAGACACTGGAATAGCTCATAGGGGGAGGATACAGTGAGTGTCCTGGGGTGTTTTTATGCTGTTCTTTGTTAAATAAGACCAAGATCCAAGGAAAAGAATGAGTCTTTTGGCTTTACCTTGTATAGGGGCTTTTTAAAGGAAGTTTGAAGTAGGCATTACCTACTCATGCTAAATATTACTGTATTTTAAGCAATGTATTAGTATTTTCTAACATTTGGCAATTTGCACTCTTCAAGCAACAGACTCCACATCTGTAGCCATCTTCATTAAAAAAGTAATAAAAAAGTAAACAGGCATTATCCATGTACCTAACTCCAAAAATAAACTGAGAAAATAACCAGGCAGTTTACTGACAACAAAAACACCTAACTACAATGTATCTTGTTTTCCTCTTTAACAAAAATTCTCTCTCTCTCATGATAATATACTTTTTTTTTTTTTAAGTGTGCAGCTTGTGTGGTTAACTACCAGTCACAAGAATCAATACTGGACTACATTTTGCAATGACCTATGCAGCCCCACACAAGTCAGAGAAGAATTTGGCTCACTGCTCTTACAGAAAGAGCTAAGGATGATGATGTCCTCAATAAAGGAAAGGGCTCCAATTCACTGCCAGTGATCTCCTATCCTGGCATAGTTTAAATGAAGTCTCTAGTCTCAAGCCAATTCCTACTGAGCAAATGGCCTCATGATACAAATTACCAGAAAAACTGGTAATTTTAGCTGAAAGTCTGAGAACATGGAGAGTGAATTCTCCTCTGGCTCCTAGGAGAGTTCACTCTGCAGGCCAGGTGGGGTAGGCTTATTGTCACGGTAGCGTGGGGATGCTACTATTGGTAATGCCTGTGCTGATCTGGTCTTACAAATAGATTGGCTCTTTGTTTTCAGGTGTCTCTGTCTGGAAACATCTTGAGTTCTGAATTCACAAATTATTCCCTTTCTTTTGTACTATTCAGAATCCATGTCTTACATTACATTAATGCCTTGCTTTAAGAACTGCTCCTAATTTTTCAATCAAAAAATCATAAAGGTCTTTTCTTTAAAAATTAAAGTTTAAAAAATCCCCAAATTTGCTGATTTTTCAGTGAAAACTCGCATCTTTTCCTCCCTTTTTGTTCCCATTTTCCTCACTTTTGAGCAAAAAAAATCTGGGGTAGAGGGTTAAAGATTTCCAAAAATGTTTTGGGAAAACAAGTTCTTGTCAAATGCTTCAAAATAAAAACAGTTTCAAAATGTTTGCAGTTCCCCCCTCATTTTTGATCAGCTGGATCAATTATATTAGGAGAAACATTATATTAAGGAAAACTAAGCTTTGTTTCTGTCATTGTATTGCTCTACACTAGCTTCTGACATGCTTGTTTTAGCTCCAACTTCATGTCCATCATACTGCATCTTAAAGTATCAAACATCATTAACAGCAAAAAGGTGCTGGGACGGGGGCATGAGAATATGTACCTTGTACCCGGGTTTCCTCCCTCTCTTCTTTGGGATCTTCACTATGGGTAAGGATCCACCTGGTGCTGAATAAAGATTGTGAACAGCCATTTTCATCGCAGTAGAATGGAGTGGGGGTCTTCCTCGTTTTCTACCTGGTATTCTTGGAGACTGCATGTCAACAGTATCCAGTCTTGGAGGCAGCGATGACAAATGACTCATATGCAGAGGAACTAAAAATCAATCAAAAAAAGAAGACGAACCCAAGCATTTTTGGACATTTGCAGTTGAAAATAAAACCCACGCAAATGCCAAGGCAATTTGCTTATTTTACTATCTGTGTCTTTCTGATTTTTACTATACATCATAAAACGGCAACAAACTAGAGCACTGAAAAAGCTATAAAACAGACAATTCTATACAGTACAGTCTGAGAGTGTTAAAATTCCACCCTGCAGAACAGGGACACTCCCCCAACACACCAAAAATACTGCAGTATTGTTGGATGGTGGAAGAAAATGCCTTGCCTGATGAGTGAAATTCTGAAATGCAGGCAGCAAGCTCAAAAAGTGCTCTGCATGCATGGCACAGCCAATCTGGGGAGCAGGACACACTCCCCTTATCCCATCCCTGGATATGCTACTGCATGAACCTCATGATTTTTAGTATCTTTTTAAAGCTCCAACCCCCTGAGGCAAGAGATTATGCAGGAATTGAAGGTTTCACATTGTTAATGGAGTTTCTAGCCAACCTGGTTATAGAGAAAAGCCTGTAAATAAATGTTACCCAAGTGTACTCTAAAGGCTCAGAAATCAGGCAGCAAATTAAGAGTCACCAGAATTCATTATACATCCTAAAATTAAAAAATCACATGATTTCTTGGGACCAGACTTATGATTTGAATTGCTTAGCATTGACATCGTGGGGAATATAATGCTGGAGTCTTATTTACCTCCAGGGACTGATGGTAGGAAAAGCAATGCCTGGTAATAAGTGTTTGTAGTTGAAGGTCTGTATATTACTGAGGTGAAAAAGATCTTTCCTCATCAAAACTCTAAATGTAAAACCAGAATATGATTGACAATCAAGACTTTCCCTTTCTACTACTTAGGGGTTTTTCTGTGTGTGTATGGGGGTGGGGAGGGGAGTTGTTTGTTTGTTTAATTATTGCTGAATTGAAGGAAAAAAGCTCCCAACTGAACACAACAGTAAACACGTTTATATTTAATATGTTAACAACAGATCTGTTAATAGAATTATAGGTATCTGCTCATTTTGAAGAGGTCCATTATGTATTGCAAGACTTGCAGATTGATTATAAATCCCTATCCCTTAACACCAGCTGCCTCAAACTCACATGCAAATGCTAGATGCTGAGCATCAGATCAAAGCAAATGCTGTGTAATAATTCTGATTAGGCATGTCTACACACACATTTATGCTGGCTTAAATTTACTGAGCAGTAAATTACTGCACAGTAAGTGACAATAGGCTGGCATCTACATGTGCAGGCATTAAAGTGCATTAATGCTGTGTGTGGCCTGACTTGGGACTAAAGCTAGTCCCAAGTCAGTCCACACACACAGTGTTACCACACAGTAACGCACCTATACATATGTTACTGTGTAGTAACTAATCAGGCATAAATTTGATACCTTCATGATGCAGTATCAAATTTACGCTTAAGTTGGCATAAGTCATCATATTTACTGTGTCCAGTATGGGCATGGAGGTGTAGACGAGCACCCTTACTGCGCAGTAATTTCAGTTACTAAGCAGTAAACGCACGTGTGTAGTTGCGCCTAGTGTGTAAATTAACAAAGTGCCACGAGATGGTGTGATTAGGTTCCCTAGATGTATACTTCAGGAGCTATTCAGAAACTTACAGCCTTGCACAGAGAATGGTTTAAAGCAGCAAGTTCGACAGCACGAGTCAAAGGGAAAGGTTCTCTATCTCTTGAGCACTATAGCTTTTATTCCTTCTTGCACAGGGTGTAATACTTTACTGTAACACTTTTTAAATTGCACTTTCTGATCTTCTACCACCACCCAAAGCAAAACATTTTAGGTTTCAGATCAGCCTAGAACAAGGTGAGCTATGAAGGAGGAGAGTGGAAGATGAACCAACGTTCTGGGTGTGACACACCAACACAGACATGAAAGCATGGCACAGAAATGAGGTTTTTTCTTTTGAGTTTCCTTCTAATAAAGGCTGGAAAAATAATACTTCACAGAGGAGATTCTCTGGCAATCAGAAAACTGAAAGGAGCATAGCTTTGGACACTGTGTGAGTACTTGCTCATTTATGGGAAACCATAAAATGACAGAGAACCAGATTCCATTGAAGTCTTTCCTTTGGCTTCACTGGGCTTTGATCAGGCCCTAAATCTCCACTCCTGTCCTTGCACACCTGAAGACCAAACTCTGTTCAGTGGTCCACTGAAGAGATTTATTGCAGTATCAGCTAAGTTACAGTTCATGAATGTATCACGTGGACTGAGCTCAAAGGATGATCTGACATTTTAAAGGATTAAAACCTCTTAAGTGAAAGAAAGTGAATGTATTCAAATAGCAGGAAGCCAGCATAATTAATACTATCAAATAAAGTTCTCGTAAAGGGAGATATTGTGTATATTCAGAGAACGAATTGACTTTTAAAGTTAAAGAATTCTTACTACCCAACTTTTTCTCTATCTGCTGGCTATCACGAGTATTTCTATCATTATTTATGAGCCAAGCAGTAAAGTAGAAGAAGTTATAGGATGTTGCTTGCAAGGTGTAAGCAAAATAGCAAGGTAGCAATTGTGTGTGTGCATCCCATCAAAAGATACACATATTTATTAAATTACATAATTATCACCAATCCTGTGACACTTTAAACTGTACTCTGAGAAGTATGTATACACCAAACACACGCATACACACATACACACATGTATATCAACCCTGATTCCACCACCAAGAATCCCATCCTAGGCTGAGCCAACATAAGCAGGGGTGTGAATTTGAAACAGCACAAATAGCAGCGGCACAAATTTGTGCCACTACTTTGTGTTGCAGTGCATGCCCCTGATCATGCAGTTTGCAGCGGGACACATTGTACCATGTGCTGTAAGAGAGGCTGGTTGGGGTGGACTGCCTGCATACTGTGCCCCAGCCAGCTGCTCTGTGGCTGGCTGGGGTGCAGTGTGCCTTGAGACAGGGGGTCCATGTGCTTCAGTGCAGGGGCTCCACAGCAGAGCCTTTCTGCTGATGCACGCAGAGACCGGGGAGCAACCAGCCCTGGACTGCCTGCTCCCCCTGTCTTGAGGCACCCTGTGCCCTAACCAGCTGGGGAATGACTGGCTGGGGTGCAGGGTGCCTCAGCATGAGGGCTGTCCAGCGGAGAAACATAGAGAAAAGGGAACAGCTAGCCCTGGGCTGCCTGCTCCCCTGTCTTGAGGCACACTGTGCCCCAGCCAAGCAGGGAGTGGCTGGCTGGGGTGCAGGGTGCCTCAGCATGGGGACTCTACAGTGCAAAAAAGGGGGAGCAGGCAGCCTTGGGTCCCCTCATTTCAAAGGAGTGGCTTTCCCTATTTAACAATTCACGGTTCAAAGCCTAATTACCCTAACAAGAAAGCCAAATAATCAAGTTGACCTAAATTATACCTTGGTATATTAATACAGTTATTGGGACTGTATTTCCTAGGAATGTATTGCATCAAGCATAGGGGATGTGTTGGGGAGACAGGGGGCACATGCCCTCCCAGATTTCTGCACTGATGATGGGGCACAGGGCTGTAGCCTGGCCAAAGCCAGTTCCTGGCAGCAGCGGGGGCAGCAGTGGTGTGGAGTTGTGCCCCCCCACTGTCAACACTTACACGTTGTCTATGACATCAAGAGGCTACTATTATTAAAATGAGTTTTATGCAGTAGTTAGTTTTATGTGCTCTGTTTTTTGATAGCAGCTTATTAATCAGGATGCAGAAAATGCATATGCTGTTTAACATGTGCTGTGCCAGTTTCACTGGCTTTTTACATGAGCCCCATACATCCCATTCCTTGGCAGTAATCAGTTGATATTGATGAAGTAACCACTGTGGCATCATCCTTCCCCTTCTTTTCTTTTTTAAGTTAAACACAAAAATCATAACCGAAAACAATAACCAGAACTCATATATACAACATGTAGCAAGGAATGAGGTCAGGAAAGAAGAGCTGAAATTCCCTGACATGACAGTGGGCTTGTCTACACTACGATAGGTTTCAGGGAAGATGGGATTAAGCATGCCCCACCCATACAAGTCCACTGACATGTTCTAGAGCCAGAAGTTTGCCCATGAAACTATACCAGACACCCACCAGCTGCCCTCTGATCTCCTGGTGTCCAAGGGCTCAAGAGTGAGCACTGGGGATGAGTCTGGAGCAGCCTCGAAGATGAAATGCTGTCTGGAATGCTCAGTCTTGTCCTTCCCGTGTCATGTTGCTGAGACCATTGACTGCCGAGACCATTTTTATCTCTGAATCTCAGTGACTTAGTAAAAAGCCACAACTTGTTCTCAAAAAGTGACATCTCATAGTCTGTTCAGCCACTAAGGAAATGTTCCACATGGAGCCAATGTCTGCCTTTTCTTGTGTTTTACATTGTCAACAGCTAGGCTGTCGTGTCAGCTCTTCAACATTTAAGTATTGTCACTAGAATTCTAAATGTTCTCGCAGAACAGAAAAGTTGTGTCTTCCTTGGTTGTGTTTAGGTGTCGTCTTTAGGAATGACTCTTGGAGATTCTTATGATGTATGACCTGGGTGTGGATGATACCTGCTACCTAGGCAACCTAATATTTGTAATATTTTAAAATCACAATAGCTGTAGCTCCTTGACATTCTTCTGACATTATTCCATTCCAGTTTCTTGAGTATATCCTAGAGATTATTAAGCCAAAAGGTGCCACTGTGGGTCATGTACTTGGACTGCCTGTATAATACAGCCCACAGAATGCTTTTGAATTAATTCTTACATGAACTAAAGCATAACTTTTTAGAAAAACATTCAGTGTTGATATTTTTTTGTAACTACTAATCATGTTAATGATCTTATCCCGCCCCCTCCCAAAAGAACAACCCATCAGATACTGGCATTAAAGATTTTGAATTCTGATCACAAGGGGCTGAACTGGTAGTCTTTTAATCTGTCAGGGATTTTTAAGGATCAAACAGTTTACTATTGTACTGATTTCCCTGCTAACCTATTT